TCCAATAATAATAGCAAAATATATATATTCAATTATCAACAAATGCTCTTTGTTACAAACGCAAAACTGAAAGCTGGTCACAAGCATTCTTGAAACCATGACAATATGTACGTCATAACTCATTGTTCAGAGTGAAAAGAGAACATACAATGGAAGCATTTGCGCATGTGCGTAGGAAGGATAAACGAGGAAGTGAAAAGAAAATCCCCAAAAAGAAGTTTTAAACAAAATCAAAAGTTTCAAAATATAAACTTAGATTATACACATCACAAGGAGAACGGTTGTAAATCAGCAGACTAATCACGACTGATTTACATTTATAAAGCATGAGCTATACATGTAGTATCATCTATGTTTTGAAAGTCCGTGATGATGCAACGTTTCTGTAAAATTAAGGTACAAATGTACTTCGATTCGCGTGAGATTCAATTATGCCATTTAATTTTTGCGTTAAAATAGTGGAAACTGGATGAATTTTTAGTATCTGCATAAGCAAGTAAAAATATAAGTAAATATTGTTAAATGACTTACCTGAGCTGCAGCACTCACCACCGTACAGACCAGGACAATTGCATACGTTGTCTATCATTTCACCGCCATTGTAGCAAAATTGGTTGCAGCCGGATACATCTTCCTCTCTTTTGCACGTACTACCAGAAACTTGTTCGCGAAATCTTGACATTACTCCATGCGGACCACATATCTTACTGCAGCCACTCCAGCTCAACCAACTACTCCAGGATGGTGCATATGCTGTACGTCTCCTGCAAAAACCGTCAGACAATAAAATACCGTTAAGGCAGATCAGAAGAACAAATAATCTAATATTCTCCATGATAGTGGCAATCACACGATATGATATGCTGTACAGAGTCTAGGCTGCAAACTGTTATTAAACGGATATCATCGATGGACATTGGATTAATTCACTCCTGAGAAGGGTGCGACGCGGGCCCGAGACGGGGATACGCTGGTTACACAATGATATAAAGCTGTGCAAACTTTCTTTAAGAGTTGCGCCCCTTCGTATATACCCATCATACCCATACTATCACAGTGAACCATTCTCAAAACACATTGGCTAATGTATCGATGACGACATCATCTAAAGCGAGGAAGTTTGGAGTCATCGGGAGCATGGCGTTCACGCAAGATTCTTACATTATCAAGCGTCTAAGAATACAGTGGTCTCTTCATCACAAATTTCCATTTCAGTTCTTCGTTCTTCTTATTTTTGAATAAATATTTGTAAGATGTGAACTACTAATTTTTCAACTATTTCAATAATGTATTTCCAATTAAATTTTCGTTTTTCTATAAGTCTTGAACAACTACCAAATATCAAGTAATGAACACATGGAGCTTGTTTTAGAAATTATCGAGCTTTTAAGTAACATGTCAATCATCATTAAGTTCTCTTACACAATCGGAAATTGTGTACTGTATAGGTTGGGTGCGCTGTGGGAATGAAACATTAAACCGATGAAAAAATTTTAACATAAATTTTCAGTGGGGTGTAATTTAAGATATTGGTAATCACTGATGTTGCAAATCTGTGGGAAATAGGGCATGTAGTGATTTTATAACTGTGATTGGTTGATTGATTGATTAATCAATTATTTGTGGATTAATAGTTTTATTATATAATTGGACATATTATACGTGGTTCCCACGACCTCAGTGAATAGTGAGTTGCAGCGTAGTCCCATGAACTCTATGTAAATAACTGAACTCGAGCAAAAGGGACCCCTATGATTGTGTCTAGTATTCCCAAAATATCCCCCTCCATACACACACGTACAGCAAACACACCACGTTGTGCATCAAATTAACATATAACGTGCTAATAAAGTAGTTTGCACAATAAAATGAACCACCGAATCTACTCTGTTCTTCCTGTACATGTTCACATGTATTAAGACATGTGCTTGTCGCGAGTCTC